TTCGAATGCCATGGTGTGCATAATGATGCGAAAGGCATGTTGTGCAGCCATTGACTTCTAGCGAAGATCTTGTTAGTGCTGGCAAATGCTGGGGGGGATTGTTGGGTCATTGACCAGCATCTTCCTAAATTGAAACGTGGCGCTGGTTGCTACGCTATAAGGAAATAAGTTGCGCCTTCTCCACCAGCAATTGCTTTTGGTGTAGTGGTAAGCGTTTGGATTCTAACATACAATCCGGACAACACTTGTCCCTTTTGTCTGACATACTAATCCGGATAACACATGGTTGATTTAAGACTAAATCGCATGACCTATAATCAATTTAAAACTAAACCGCATAATTCATGCCCGGTGTAAGGCAATCCAGACAACACACTCGTCCGATTTATAACTAGACCGCATAACCCTTGAATGATTTATGACTAAACCGCACAATGCTTGGTCGTATTCCTACTTCTCCGTTCAAAACTTTTATCCGGTTTACATATTTCAAGATTCCACTAACTCATAAAATCGCACAACACTTATCCGGTTTACAGTTAAATCAGACAACACGTGTCCGGTTTAAAAGTAATCTGGTCACCTTTTATCCGGATAAGACGTAAATCGCGCAACTCTTTTCAAAGACAATATGCAGTTCTGTCTAAAACAATTAACCAAAGCTTAAAAGATATTTTTTGAAATACTCACCTTTAAAACAAAACTCAGATTTTTTGAAGGAGAAGAAGACAACCAAATTGTTCTCCGGATAACTCAATTCTGAATCTCTCAAAGTTCCCAAAATGAAGCAAGAAACTCTACTACATGCTCAAAACCCCTTATTTATACTTTCCAAATATGGAAAGTCGGCTACCAGCCTTTACCCACATACATGCATACACAAAACTACCCATGCATGAATATAATTTCATGCACACATATACTACACATGTATGCATATCCTCACATATATATCCCTATGCATAAAAACACACATACTCACGTATCTAACCCATGTAAGCATGTATCCATATACACAATTAATTCACATAATAAATACCTTGGGTAATAACCAGGACCCGGTTATCACACAAGATCTACGTTTTATGTAATTTTAAGAGAGAGGTCAATAGTTACTAGTGTTATGGTTATAATATGAAACTGCATAACACTTACAACTGGTAACAGATAAGATTTAGCGTTGGTTACAACTGAATTTAGAGGCTCTATGTCAAAAACATCGAGCCTAGAGGTGAAACCCATGACCATAAGCTATAGATAGAAGGCCTAAAGGCTCTAATCACCAGTCTTATGGAAATGCTAATTTTCAAAGGCTCTAGACAAAAGGTCCAAAGGCTCTGGAACGCAACTTAAATTATGAAGACACGAGACCATACTTAGTCAAATTTTCATCAAGTTCAGGAAAATTTTCGAGAAGGTTTCCAGGCCTTTGAAATTCATCCAGATGATTCTTAAACTTAAAATTCCTAAGTATACTACTTCCCCTTGGACCCTGCTAGGGGTGCTGCTCCTTAGGACCTTGCAAGGGGCATTGCTCCCTTGACCTAAGCCTTAAGAAGATTCAAGGTGATAGGAACAATCAATTTAGAGTCTGCACTCTGCAAGTCTCTCATGTCGTTTGGTATATCACCTTAATTGATATCAAGTAAATCACACTTACATCAAATGAGATGATACTAAAAAGACCGATATTAGGTATAGCAATATGTCTATACTAACTAAAGATGTTTTTGCTATACTTGTATCCACCATGGCTTATGAATTCAACTTTAATACAAGTGGACATATTATGAACCAATTAGTAATGGATTACAAATAATGACAACAAAGTTTAACGGAATATTAAGTTACCTCAAAACCAAATACTAGTGTCCAACATCAAAAAAAAAAAATCCATTTGTTCCACTAATTAAATGAAACCCCACGATTACTTACCTACAAGTCCTTATTTAACCAAATTACCAATTCAAAATTTCATTATGTTGGAAAAGTTCTTAAGTAATGTGTAATTGCTAACATGGCCATTAATAAGAATTTCTTGTATACTACTATTTGTTTACCAATGTACCTAGAAGTCCTCATTCTCACCTCGTTTGTTTGTTTCAATAAATAACAATGAGTCATTGACTTGAGCTTCAATGAACCAATAGTAATTATAAATCGTATAAAAATGAAAAAGTAGCCCTACCCCAATTATCCGGTTTGTGCAGACTTCAGAGGATAGGAGGCGGCATCCGATCCATGTCAAATTTTTCATAGTCTCTTTGTTATTCGGTTGTAAATTACCGTTAGGAAAATGAAATTGTGCTTGAAATACTGAAATTAGAACTAGCAAGAGGAAAGTATATAAAAAGGGGTAGAGAGTGCGAGACTATGAATTGAGAATCCAAAACTATACTTGTGCTTTAGAATTGGATGCCGCCTTGGGTTAAGAATAACCTTCTTCTCATCTAAAACTTTTGGGCCCTCAAGAGTATGTTTTTGTTTTTTCTTATATTATCTTTTTGCTTTCTTGAACTAATAATATAAACTAAAAGACCTTTGGCCCCTGAATTTTATGGCCCCTGACACATATCCAGCCCGTCCTTTCTCAAGTAAAACCATGATGGCATTACCACATACCTGATGACTATATTCTACTAAGTTACGATGTGATTATATTAGTTCTAACATTAAAGTGTATGACTTTACCATATTAGACTTCAATATATTAATCAATTTGGACAATGCTATCATACTACGATGATATGAGTAACATTTATGACTTTTTCATATGAATCTGATGTCATGTTCTCATGGTGGATTTATCCGGTATACAAGTTCACCAACGTATACCCGTACAAAAAAAACTCGATATCCACCATATGCATTCTTATATGCTAGTCTGAACTGTATTACTTTAACCCACGCCTCAAGTAATACTTTGGCTAGGGATGTTCAAGAATCTTTATTTTAAGGTTATCATTACGTTCATCTATCAATGCATAAAATGAATTGACTACCACACCTTTTATTTATCATAACAAAATGTTTGCAATTATCTAATGATTGGTTTCTCGACATATCACCAACATTTTATCTTTTTAACTTTAATTAACTAACATCACCAAGCTATTTGTCATATTCAACCTCGGAATAATTATCTTCACCACCATATAAAGATATGTATGATCTTATGAAATTATTCCAATCTTAACTAATTGTAGTAGATCTCAATATTATCTTTTTTCTAACTATTAATAATACCATGCTTTCTCTACGGACACTAATCCATATTTATATGTATTGTAATTACTTCGATAATACATACACAAGATTGTATTATAGACACTCTTGTATCACTACTGTTTTCATAATAGATTTTAATACAAAATTGAGACGTTCAAACTTTTAGTTATTTTAATAGTTAAAAATATTTTTAACAGATTCTTTAATACAAAAAGATAAGACTTCTGTTTAATAATTTACTCAAACAAATTCTACTTGTAATTCTCAAAAATTATAATATATATATATATATATATATATATTCGAAATGTTGTTGCACATCAGCAATTTCGTTGTTTGAAACTTGGAAGAGATGGCAAAGTCGGGGGTGGTTGGGCACGCAAAAAACAACACAAAAATATATTAATCAATAAAAAGGTAAAGTTATATGTTTAAATTTAATTAATAGCAATCAAACAAATAAGTCGCCACGTGATGTTGATTTGATCTCA